TTTCTATAAAATATACGCGTAATTTGAATATTGTAATGATGTAGAATTTTATGAATTCATTTCGCATAAAATTCTCAGTATAGTTTCCTTGCGATGATGTTTATTTGCATTTTAGCACTTTTATATATTTATTTAGTTTTAACTTTTGCATAATTTTTTTAAAATCTTATTTTCTTCGAACTTTGAAAATGAAACTATCTATTGGCAGTTAATACTTTTAAGAACACTAAATTCTGAAGCAGCAACTAGCGCATTATACTTTTTTTAACTAAAGATTTTCTAAGGTACTTAAGAATATTATCTTTCTAACTTACTGAAAGGTAAGATTTTTTTCCAAGACATCAGGAAGTTTAAAAAATCTCCAAATTACTGTAATGAATTTTACTGATGTAGTTTGGAAGATTTACCGCAGGACATTTAAGTACGGAAAATGAAGAAGAGGTTGCGATGTTAATGGATTTATGAAAATGTGATGAAGTAACACCGTCAAGAAAAAAGAAAAAATCAGTGTTGATAATTTTACATACATTTTAGTTCATTTACTGGTATTTTATCGTCTTTATTATGCTTTTCAAACATTACTTTCTTATCTTACATCGAAGGATATTCTTTTTTAATAAAATGTTTTAACACTGGATAAAAGAATACTCGATGTGAGAAAAGCTAAATTATTGCTCTTAATTTTGCATTGATAAATCCATTTTATAAGTAATAAAAACTATGGTTTGAATAAATTGGATTATAAGGCGAAGGAATACAATAAAAATATTCTGTTCAGCTTAGTAAATGTCTTGTACAACTCGTGGCTTTGAGTTACACAACAACTATTCATTTTTTCTTGAAACTCTTAAAGATGTTGGCACTTTAAATGTGGGAAATGCTGAGAATTATTTTCATATCAATTGTGTTTCAAACTATTATATTAATTGTGGAATCAGAGACGTTTCTTTATAGTTATATTAATAAGAAATAATTTTGAATTTTTGATATCATTTAATTTCCTTGTCAAACATAAATATTTTATTATAATTTAATTTTATAAATAAATAACAGTTCAAAATTCAGTCTGGAAAGCTTCATGACTTGCATGGAAAATTTTCTAATGACTTCTCAAATTGCTTATAATGATTTCCGTTCGTTCTAAGTTTTAATACCAAATTTGATATACTATTATTCAAATTAGACTATTTTCTGACATCTTTTGTACAAATGGCATTGTATCCATGTCAGAATCAAATACTCAACTCAAAACCTGAGAATTCATATTTGATGAAATTATAAATAGTTTATTGCATATTTCTTGCAACCGCATGCAAATAGATACACTGAGAGTTTTATATCAATTTTATAAAGTAATAACAGGTCTAAATATATTAGTCTGTCCAACCATGTTGAAGAAACCTTTAAAAAATTAAAAATAGTTCTTAAGTTTAAAACAACATAAGTTTGTATGATACAATAAATGATTCTTGAAAATACAAGCGCACAACAATTTTTTGCCACCAGGCAGGCAGTTAATCTAATACTTATCAGATTTTAGCTTGCATAATCTCTTCTGCAATATTTAGCAAGCAGTCAATTGCAGATACTCATGAGGTTCACTGTTGGACAGTAGCATATTCTGCATAGTTTTCAAAAGAATTTTAAATAATATCATCATTAAATCATGTCTTAAAACTTATCACAGAGAAGGGCAATACTATACTTGCAAATTGCTCTCCTACAAAACATTTCAATGAAAAATATGCAAATACAAATCCCACAAACACATTACAACTGCAGTTACAAATGCAAAAGATAATACTCACGCGTATTACAACAGAAGACTCTTCTTACCTTTCGGATGGAGAAATTCATTATTACAAAGCAAAATTACATTTCAGTATGTCGCCCAGTTGATTTGTAGTTGGGAAGCTGGTTTTCATAGCCTTAAGCCCACGTTCGAATTCCGGAGAAAGAACGGATGTTTGAAAGAGAATAGTTCCTTTACGGTAAAAGTCATTTAATATATTTGCGAGCGTAAAGTTTTATAGAGTGTTTGGAGGTAGATGAAGAAGAGTAGAAAACCCTCACATGTGTTCCCTTGGGATATTCTTCATCAAAACTGGGACGGAACTTCGAATTTCGAAAGGAGTAATTCTCATGCATCCTGAGCTATGATCTCTTATGAGACGATTAAATGCCCAAATCGATGGATTTGGGCCTTTCCTATTGAACGCTTTAAAGTTCAAGTATCGGGCCATTTGAAATCACGAAGCAGTAACTCTTATAATAATGACAACCTTGTATTGAATTGATCCCTTTCTTGGTCTTGTTAGACGCCATTATTTAGTAAAAGATCATTTGTACAAGTCATGAGCCATGCCAGCTAATCTGTTGAACTTCATGAATGCTTGACATAAACATGAGTAGGAGTATATCCATTTGATAAACAGACTTCTTATAAACGCTTATTTTGCTCTTTGAGATCTGTATATAGGAGACTTACACTGTAAAGATATATTATCAGGAATCAAATTTATATATAATTTTCTTTATGACATAAAAGGCAGTAAATAGGTTCGGATATTATTTCCACGCTGCTGAGAGTGTTAAGAAAGACTGCGGTTGAGGCCGGCCTACAGGCAGATTTTTCAGTTTGTTAAAGGGCACTTATTAAATGTAATTTTGAGCTTGTTCCATCTATTAAGGAGTCTAATCAGAAGTGCTGGTCCTGGAGAGTTGCTCGCGTAGACGCGGAACCACGTATAATAAATCTTTATCTCGTAATTCTACAGTTCAGTTTTGGAGTAAAACTGCAACTGAGATACCGCTTCGTAATGAAATTGCGTAGTATTTATTCACAGGGAAGTTTAAGTCAGGCAAGAGAAAAAATGTGGAAACTTCGCGAGTAGCTATAAACTAACTGATTATTTCATTAAAAATAACTTAAATATTTATGCTACAATTTGCCTATTAAAATAATGCAATTAAGTACAGCAGAATGAGACAAAGTATTAATCAGAATCTATCGCCAAAAGACAAGAGGCAAAGGGCGATTAAAGAAAACTCGTGACTGAAATATTAAATAGCAGAATAGAGAGAGAGTGCCTGTTTTGATTATACAACCACATATATCGACTAAGGTATAATGCGGAAGTTTACGTTAATCATAATAAAAAAACAGTGTACGCTGAAGTACAGATTATACATATCACACCTCTGATTTTGACATGCGATTTTTACATATAAACTTCGTTCTTTTCTAGCTCGATTCATCCCTATACGCATATTAAATATAAAAGATTTCTGTAATCATGTAAAATGCGATATATTGATTGTAATTAGTTATTTATTTTTTAGATGGCGCCTTTAAAACGATATTTTGCAGTTAATTAGAATATGAGTGAAACAGCGGAGATAGTAATGATTAAAAACAAGAAAATTTAACACCTCAATCCAAAAAATAAATAAATAACTAAAAATTGTATATGGTTACTAAGTTATTACCAATCATTTACATCATTACCAGCATTACCTTATAAGTCTTTTCTCTGAATAGGTCATCAACATGTTATTTCGTAGATGGGATACTTTCTTCCCCCTCCTCCCCCCGAGAAAAAAGAAAAATCTGAAAGGTTTTATATTTTAAATTACGTCCAAAGGGGCGTTCTTTTAGCGTTTTGAGTGTTACCTTCATTTATTAAATATCATGTTCTTTGCACTTAAACCATAAAATTAAGTTCAACAGCAATGTCGCAGAATAATTTTTAAATGAGCTTATCTTTAGAATTTCTGATACACAGTTCCGCGGCCGCTGGAGATAGAAAGGTTTTATTCCCCTGTAGAGTGTTGCCATTGTGCGCTTTTAAATCGTTGAGTTTGTTAATCAAAAATTCGTTAAAGTTTTACAAAATATGAAATCGATAATAAAACAAATTCCAAATTTCAAATTTGGTCTTTCAGATGCCCATATTCGCAGTAGGATTACGTTATTCAAAATTGGATTGCTCTATAGGTGTCGTTGTTTTATTACTATGCGAGAAACATACATACATTTATTCAAATTCTTCATTATTTAATGTGTATATCTATCTATCTATACTATGTGTGTGTGTCTAATAGCTTTGCAGATCGTTGCAATAGGCTGACAATGGCTCATTGCGTAGATAGAATGATGAGACTTGCAGACAGACGTAGCCATCGATTCAATACATTTTATTTCTGGTTTTCTGGTTAAACCAGTTCTGGAGACGCAATATCTAATTCACATAATTTTGGGCGGAATATGCACCTTCAGAATTTTATAAGCTTAACGCATCGTTAAGACAATGGATGATACAGAGAAGCGAACGGCGACATGTTACTTTGATGCAGGCAAGAAGGGAAATGACGCATTCTGAAAGAAAATGTAGGAGAGATAAAAAAAAGCTTCGGTTCTCAATAGAAATTTAGTTCAGGGATGGATAAAAGTTGTCAGGCTTGCAGCGAAGCGGATTGATTTTAAAATGATGTAGTTTAGCTTGAAATATTATAAATAGCTCCTATTTTTAGCACAGAAAGAGAAAACAGTCAAATTAAAATCAGGATGAAAGGAACTATTACCAATTAAATTTAGAAGTTTGCTTTACATATTTTTATATCATATATATGTATGTATGTATATGAGTTGTGTGTATAGAAACTGAAATATCTCACTAATACCACTTTTGTAACGGTTTTATGAAAAAATAGAATGAAGATTTGGTCTGGAATCGCTTCTTTATTATCAAAGTAATTATACTTTACTACAGCTGCTTGATATTCTGCTAGAATGCTTATCTACAGAAATAATTAGGTATTTGGATTAATTTACTAGATTACTTCGAAACGATATCCAGACTGATTTATTTGATCTGAAAGAAATGACACCAATTTTGACATGCGATTTGAATGTTATATTCCGTAAAATATCTGATGTCTTCTCAGCCGGCGTATGAATTTCGATAAAATATTGTTTCACAATTTATTATTAGGCCAAATAAAGCATTCATGTAAAGTACAGTATTAGAAATGGACTGATACATATCTTACTGAAAGAGAAACTGAATTCAGTTTACCTTTCGTCCCTCTTTCTGGATGACTTCTTGATCGCATTGCAATGACAATAATATAAGCTGCGACGATTAATAAAATTACAACACCTACGATAATTCCAATAATTGAAACTGTCGACCACATAAGATCGGAACCTGAAATCACAGAATTAAAAATGAGATGTAGAAATACATTTAATCATCAACATGAAAGAAATCATTAAATGCATTTTTTTATTCAGTGCAGCAAATTTCGCAGTTAAAAAGTGTAAAAAAAAAACAGAATTTTAAGCTCATATTAGAAGTAAATGTCAAAAATCACAGGTAAACTAGATGATTCGTAAGTATTCTGTTGATATACGTTTACGCGTATATAATAAAACTAAAATGCATTTTGGAAAATAAAATCATTAAAATCACAGTGAAAATAATTTCGAAATTTACAATTTTAGCTAATCAAAAGTAATTGTTAAGGCTAAACGTCTAATAAGAACAAAGAAATATAAAAAATTCGATAATAAGATGCAGGAACATTTTTGATTAATGTAATTGCAAATGAGTCTTTTATTACATAAAATATAATGCAAAAAAGGTTTAAAAATTATCAGTAGTATACAGGAAAACCTTAGCTGACGTAATTAACTATTTCATAAAGTGCTGTGCATTAAGTGAATACATTTAATAATAGAAATAACATTAACAGTCAATGTAATGGGAAAAAAACTATTAGCGTAATTCATTCTTAAAAAATGAAATAGAGAAATATTAAATTGTCAGCATTAATATAATTCCATTCTACTTCTACACAGTTTTCTCATCATTTAATTAGTGGTTCGATGCCATTTAAAAGGAAATATGAAACTTTGTTACCAAACTTTTTCCGCTATATATATTTACGCAGCATATCTTCATTTCTTAATCATCACCCAAACTTGGTAAAAGTATAGTTTAGGGTACCCCTTGGCGAAACTTGGCGATTTTTGGCGAAACATGGATACCGATTTTGTGCAATTCTTTGACTCGTTATTTTGGCTTGCGAAGCGCCAAAAATCGCTTTAAAAAAAAATTGCGCCAAAAATCGCCGCTACACAAAGCCAAAATAACAAGACAAACAATTGCACAAACTCGGTATCCATGTACACATCAACTTATTTTCACTTAAAAAAAAATCCCCGAATTGCACAAAAATGGCATTGAGCACTCCTTTGACTTTATCCATGTACACGTCGACCTATTTTCACTTAAAAAAATCCCCGAATTGCACAAAAATGGCATTCCGCACTCTTTTGACTTTATCCATGTACACGTCGACTTATTTTCTCTTAAAAAAAATCCCAGAATTGCACAAACTTGCATTGCGCACTCCCTTTACTTTGTCCATGTACACATCAATATATTTTCACTTAAAAAGTCAAAGAAGCACCAAAGTCTACAATATAGGCAAACAAAAAATACTTAATCTCAATAAAATGCATTTTAAACCAAACAATAAAATAACATAAAAAAGGAAAAACATGTTATACATTTAAGCACTACCAAAAGCAAATATTCACTTACCATGATTTTCGAGTTCGATAAGTACAACCAGAGCCACGTAAAAATCAAAATATCAATCATACTCAAATGACTTTTTTCAAACCAAATACTCTTTCTGATCGAACGCTTCCCATAGTGACCATCTGAACCTTTCTTCTTATAAACCCATTCAAATCCATCTAAGCGGTTTTAACACACACCACAAAAAAGCTTACAAAACATCCCATGATTCAAAATTTTCCAGAATCATGCATCCGATTACGTCACAATAGGGTTTCCATAACATTCAACTACTCAGGCTACCATAAATGAAACAACAACTTGGCGATAAATCAAACAAGAACTTCGCCATAATACAAGGGGTACCTTAAAGTCTACTCTACCCCCAGACGTATTCCACAAGAGGCGATTTGAATTTAGAGATCAGTTAAAAGTCATGTGGAGCTAGATCTTGATCCTAAGAAGGATAGTCAAGACCTTCTGAAACCCACATTTCTTTACTGCTTCTTTAACAACGACATCTGGTAGCACTGAGACACTGTCCTGCAAAATACTTGCATCATATTCCATACCCTATGTTGCGTACCTTTCTTTAAAGTCTATCATATGGATCTTCAGACATTTCTCCAAAATTCTGCTCATCATCCTTTTCGTTGATACTGTACTTTTTCTTTTCTTGTTGACACTTCTTTCGGTATCTTCCATTTTATCTATACCCTCTTTACCAGAGAATGTTAATACAGAAGTTTAGCTTTCTATTGCTTTTGCTGGCCCACCAGCGGCCGAGCGGTAAAGTCTATGAACACTGGTAGTTCGGTCCGAGGTTGGAATCCCCCGAACGGGCTGTCTGCATGGGCATTCATTCATTCTACATATTTATTAAATAACACATGAGGAAACGTTAAAATAAACCTATGAAATATGATCTATATGATAACAAACTACATTTTTGACAAAAGGAAAAAGCAGGTAAATGAAATCTGTTTATTTGAAGCCATTGAAACTTTCACAAATCATGAAGCATAATAAAAGACAGCGCATACAAATGCAAAGAAAATTTAGTCAACAAATAATTGAACAACTGACGTGAACAAAAAATACAGGCTTTGGGTAGAAGGTACAATTACATACATACAGTTTCTGAACAGTTAAGTATACAATTTTAGGTATATGAAACAATAAAGTTAGAAAGTAAATAATAGTTCAGAAGTCAATTTATGGTTAAACCGCCTCATTTTGAATGGAATACTAAATTGTTTATTTATAGTTTTGTATTAAGTTAAATAGCTTGTGAGGATTTATATACTTATTTCTGACTAACTAATTTTAATTGCCTTGCTAATAGTTAATTTTGAGTTAAAGTAACTTTCCTATCGTTCTCGTTTTCACCCATGCTTTTCATGTCAGAATGTAAATGAGATAGCGCGCGCTTATTCAGACTGAGGGAGAAAGAAGTACCTATTTAAAGAAAAGTTTCGCAAGTTGATTTTGTGACGTTGAGTGCTTCTAGTCATTAACTTTGTCTCGCCGGTTTTCTACAATCCAGAGCCTTCCTGTGCCTTACTTTATCTTGTGAACAATTAGGCTGATCTAACTACATTTGATTTTAGTTCAACATTACTTGTTTAAGTTAAGCCAGAAGTGCTGGCTTGTGTAAACCTAAGTTGGGTCATTGTTACTTCTTTGTTCAAATAAAAGAGCTATTTACACACTTCTTTTGACTTTATCTGTTTACGGTTTAAGACAAGGGGATTATTCCTCTGTAGTCTTTCTAGAGCTCATGGTTTCACGCTACCAAAGAAAGTGAGAATCTATAAGCTAAAAACTAAAAGCACATTAATAAATTAAGAGCAAGTTTAAATTTAAAGGCCTCCAAATAATTCAGAAGCCTGAAACTGCACTTATTTGGAATTCAGATAGTTAGGCTTCCACTATATAACTAACCGCTAAAAGGTAATATCATACTAATTTGAATTTGAATGCTTTAATTCTTCCTCACTGAATTAACTCGCAATTTAAACGATTATTTCAATGGCTTGCTTAAAACAGTAAGTGGTGATAATATAAATCTGCGCGTATAGCGAGAAGATTAAATATCTGGGTAGTGAAATGCATATAGATTTTCACAAAGACCATTTTCATAGTGCAAATTTCACTTCAGAAGCATATCCTCACCATTATACTCAGTTCGAAGAAATGAACAATGGTATTTCCTTCATTAAGGAGTCTAATTAATCAGAATGATTGATGCAGTTTTAACGATGGTGCAGTTCAAAGGTGGTTGCTGCTATCTTGTTGAACGTTTAACGATTAGTTCGCAATTAGGCTATAAACTTACCCCTCTAGTATGCTTAGCTATGTGAGGGTAGCATAAACTTAAGCCTAATCTCTTAAGAATTCTATGCACTGCGAATTCCATCAGCACGTTAACTAATGAGGTTTGCAATTATTTATTCTGATAAAGTGTGAGACAAAATGCAAATATTCGAGGCTTTAAATCACAAACAATGACATTTATTCACTTTAGAAAATGATCTCGCTGATAGAAATTTAGGAATTGGTGCATTGTCGCATGGAAAATATTATCTAGGAGCACATCAATATGACGCTTATTAGTAGCAAGGAAATACGATCTCTTTAACATTTCTCCTCATAATTTATTTCCCTTTTTAATTAATTTTCTCCAGAGATCCTGATTATCTTGGCACCGTACCAAATATCTGAAATGTTTGTTGTGGCGCATAATGGCACAGCATTTGAATTCAATGTTTTATGGCCTTTGCTATTTGCGCACAAAAGCCTAATTAGCCTAGATCTACCCAATGATTTTCCAAATACTGTGAATTTCCATATGATAATAATAATGAAAACATAATAAGGCTATATGCTTCCGTAATGGATGAACGTTTTAGATTCAGTATACTTTAAAGAGAAAAAATTAGTACGTTAATGCAATAAATAAAATGTTGCTTTAAAAGCTGCTAAATTATTATTTATTTTGAGTTGATTTCTGTTAGAAATTATATTTTAAAATAGCTGATCCTTCATGTCCGTTTCTTCATGAAACGTTTTTTATAGACGGCATTAAATGTTAAAAATCAAATATTTTCTGTAACTGCTAGTAATTTTGTCCTCTTCGAAAACAATCTAAAACGACATTATATAATAAACATACCAACTCTTAAAATCTTAATTCTGAACCCACACTTATATCATTAAAATGCTTAGTTCAGTGTATCTATACTTTTACTTATTTACAGTAGCCTTGTGAGTCAATAAAGAAGATGTTTGCTAATAAAAAATAATTAATAGTTCCTTATTGGAGTATATTTGATAAAATAAAAGCCTGACTATGAATGAAACGTTTGAAAATTTCTAAAAGAAAGAATTGCCTTTGTTATGAGGTTGACAAATCTTGTCATGTTATAAGGTATTTGTCCCGCCTTCTTAGCATGCCTTCGTAGTGTAGTGGTCAGCATGCTCGGCGAGTATTCGGGAGGCCCGTGGTTCGAGTCCCGTCGAAGGCGTTGCTCATTTTTCATCTCTCCTGCTTCGAAATAACTTAATGTCTCTACAATGTAAATAACCGGATTAAGGCAGAGGAGGTCTATATATGTTTCCTTTATTATATAAACTATTAATTTATTTTTTACCCCTTTTAATAGTGCTGAGGAACTTCTTGCACGGATCGTAGTAGCTGTTGGAGAAGGAGAAGTCCGGGACACGCCCGGTATTTTCCACAGCATCCGCTCTTCCATGTGCCGGAGATGTGAGGCCTGCATGGTCGTAATTTTGAATATCTTTTTTGCTGATTATCGTTGTCTTTTCTTGTTCTTATGGTTTTGGTTTCTGCTGTACTAAGCACAATAAACATGTTTTCTCACCGTAATCTTCTTCTTCTTGTCTTGTGTTTTGTGTTATTACTACAGCACCAGAAAAGCGTTTCCGCCCAAGCATTGCTATGTGATTTTTCAATCCTCTTGGTGTAGCCTCTATCTCCTGAGAGTTTGTAACCATTTTGCCGAAACACTCTGCATATATATGGATTTATAGAGCGACTTGAAATTCGGCTTATACATGAGCTTTTAGTTTTGACTGAATATTTGCTGCAAATTCTACATTTCATCTTATAAACGGATCGTTTTACAGTAATTATTTCTTTTCTTATGGATTATATCTTGGCTTATGGTCTTCTGACTTTTCTTATCATCATCAGCTTTCCTCCGTACCCCTAAAGATTTTGATTCTTATCATGAAGGTTCAATTACCGGTCGAGTGTTACTAATCTAGCCCTCTAAGCGGCAAGGCCGTATATGTACGGTCTAAAATAATTATTGTGATATCTGTAAGAACGTATATATACGTGCATATTAAAATATGTCAACGAAATTAAGGCAATATATCAAAAGAAAACAAATCCAGGTATGAAATACCAGTAGAGTTTTTACATTAAAATAAAAAAAAATAATTTGTTCTCATAGTAGTTTTGGGAAATTTGTGCTTTCTTAGCGAAACCCTTTCCGCCCAGAGAGCTAGATCCATCTGACATAGACATAAATAAATGAGAGACATAAATCCAAATAAATATATTAAACGTTTGAATTCATACTTACCTATTGTTTTTTGCAAAAGTGTGGTTGCAACTAGAGCTACAGAATTGCTTCTGCCTTTCACATTTGACGCGTAGACAACCAGGACGTACGATGTAGTCGGTGTTAACCCTTTTGCTTTGAATACTGGTCGTACGAAACTTGTTAAGTTATCTGTCATATGTTCGGCAACGGAATTATATATTTCCATATGGAATATTTGTGGTAAACTGCCGTTATAACCTGGTATGCATTCAACAGCCAGTGAATCATAGGTCAGATTAGTTACCACACAGTCGAAAGGTGGCTCAGGAGTACCTGCAAATAGAATGGTAATTGCATGATACATAGTGATATGTAATACAAACTGATCCATGCCTTAGTCTACTTCCCGCTTTAATCAAACCAAATAGCCTAGAAATGCTGTTTAATGGAAGTGCTCCTAATTGCCTTTGAATTAGCGTGTTAAATGCAGTATTATTACAGGTCTCTAGTATTTCGATGCTGTACACGGCATGGTATTCTGCATAGCAGTTATACGACGACACAGTATCCAGCATTGATGCATAATGATTTACTACTATTAAACACATGATATTTAAACGTACATAATAATTAAATGCATATTATTATCAAACCTATAATGGGCATATAATGATTTGCAGAATGTTTCATTGCATAACTTCATTGTAAAATACAGTCAAAAGTGAATAATTAGCATTTCTGATATTATATAGAGAATCTGGCAGAACTAGTTGATGTTAACAAAAGATAATAAACAGAGCTATATTGTGAAGAATAATAGCAAACTGAATTGAAATGCAGTGCTAGTAAATAAAATCTAAACATATTTTATAATATACCGTGTTATGGTATATTATTTAAAGGATAATTCTTGTAATCATTTGTGAGTTTTTTTTTATTTACCTAACAGTTACTTCATGTCTAAAATCTTTACTGTCACTTCTCGTTTCCCGTTGTCCCGCCAGAATGCATATTAGCTCACATGTATGTAAATAAGTGAAGGTTTGAAATTATTAAGCCAGAGCATGTTCTGCCTCTTGAAGGCCACATTACTAGGTTTTCTATTCTAAATTAGAGTTTCTGTTTTCGGCGTTGCTTCTTACCGGTAGTCAAATTCACGCCGGTGAAGTCCGAGCCAACTTCGCGATTAAATTGCTCTGTGTCGCCTTCTGTTGGGTAGTTATTTAAATTTAGCTTATATTGAGTTTTTACGTTGAGTTCTTGCCATAAATGCTAGCGGATTTGTAAGCGACAAGCGTTTCTTCAGGTCATCTGAGTTTAAAATAAAAGGTCTTTTACACCCTTCCCATCACGTGTAGCAAGTCAAAAGATCTTTCAAATAGTAACTGTTCTGCGAGTCTCTCTACATCATTCCCTTAATTTTTCAGATAGTTTAACTTTACAGTGAAGGACTGTGAGCATTCTGCGTTTATAGAGATTTTAACTTGAATCTCAAGTCCATTTAGGAAAATGAAGTCTATGTTACAGAGATTTCTTCCAGTTTTGTTGCTTTCGTCTCGTTCTTAGAGCGCTTATTGTTTTCACCCTTTGCGGCACAGTGTGTCCGCTCTGGACACACCTAAAATCTTCCTTCTGTACGCACAGAAAAACTGAATGAAATGAAAAAGGATTTATAGGTTACTATAGGTTACTCTGAACATTCTTTATTTATAGTAAATGGCAGCTCAACACAAACCAGTCCATATATTTTAGCCATGTTTTGTTTTTCGAGACCCTCATTTTTCAAAGAAATCTTCCAAATTTGTTTAGGGTATAAAAAGGAATTGTTTGAAAAGAATTCTATGCTTTTTGTGGCTGTATGCTTATCTCCTTATTCTATATTAGTTTTAAATTTTTACCTTGAAATCTTGCCTAAAATCAAACGGCGAACCCTAGATGTACCCAGACTGGGCTATCACCGATAATCTAGGATAACTTGGAAGTCTGTATTCTTTGTTTCTCCGCATCTCATCGGTCAGTTCATTGACAACAATGCTCGTTTCAGCATTCATTTCGAAGCTCTATTCAATCAGTGTGCCGCAGAGTTAAAACGATAAGTGCTATCTTCACAAAATTTTACTTGTGTACTCCTCTAGGCCTAATTAGACTGCCTACCTTTTTTTTTTTTTTAATTAAAACAGCAAATTTAAAAGGTATCGTGCCGGAAAGGGGTTAACGAAGTTTCTGAGAATTTATGTGCAATATGTTTGTGCGCACAAAATACTGAAAAGTTCGAAAAGAAGAGAATGCAGTCTGTTTCTTTGTAGTTGTAAATTGGGGATTAAATTTACAAAGTATAATCAAATTTTATTTTAAATCATGATTATCATGTATTTAGTCCTCGTATTTAGTAGATTCCTATGGCGTACCATGTTTTGTGAATCGGGGCTATAAGCAATAATTGATTGGTACAGAAAATGGGGCTTAATTCAAAATAATAATAATAATAATAATAATAACAAAAAGGAAGAAAAATCTGAAAGTTTTCTGATTTTATATTACGCCCAAAGAAGCGTTTTTTAACGTTTTGTGTGTTACCTTTATTTATTAAATATCATTTTTTTCGCAGTTAAACCATAAAATTTAAATTAACAGCAATATCGCAAAATAATTTTAAAATGAGCATATCTTTAGAATTTCCGATACACATTTCCGCGTGCTGGAGATGAAAAGGTTTTGATTTTTCCGTACAGTGTTGCCATTGCTCGCTTTGAAATTGTTGAGTTTGTTAATCAAAAATGTGTTAAAATGTTACGAAATATGAAATCGATAATGAAACGAATTCCAAACTAGGGCTTCCGGATGCCTAATTCGGTGAAGGATTACGTTATTCAAAATATGATGGTTCTAGGTGCCCTTATTTTATCGCAATGCCAGAAACATACAACATTTATGCATATTCTTCATTATTTAATTTATTGAAATATAATGCAGGGATCTAATATTCGGTGGCAACAATTTGAAAAGTGAACCTATATTTCATCGCAAAATGCCAAAACGAAATTAATAGCTCTTCTGTGTTGACGCTTCTTTGGGCCTTAAAATAAGCTTTTCTTTATTTTTTTTAATTGTGCTAATTAAACTACAAATTACGCATAAAAATACTGCTTAAATAAATAACAGAAAGCGGAACTTATTTTTGTTTCCTTTTTTGCCGAACACTATTAAAGGAAAGGCGTGCTCTTTCGGGCGAAATATCGACATATCTCGAACTTTTTCTGCAACATCTTCATTTCTATTTTTTAAATAGAAATCTATTATTTTCTTAAGCTTGTATTTAGTTGTCAGATCTTTATATAAACACCAAAATTTGAAACCAGACATTTATAAAGCTCAATTTTGAAATTTTCTGCTAATTTTGTAAATAATAATGAAATTTACAAATACAACTCCAAATTTTTAGCTGAAGTTCACGCTATTCTGTACACCTTTACTGGTAAAACTTTGAAACATCAAAGTTTTTATCTATTGTTTTTCTTTGAAATAATGTTCTTCAATTCAGATTTACATTCTACCAGATTTACATAATCAATTAACTTCTTTTATCAACAGTCATTGCATATTTCAGGATTAATAATTAGATGTAATTTCTACAAATCTGCTTAAGTCTTTCTCCGCTAGTACGTTTCGTGTATTTTTAAGTCTAATAATGTTAAAATCCATGAAGGTGTCAGTGATCGTTTTTCAATCACGTTTTTCAATCTTTGTCAGTGACAAATGGAAACATTTTATTTTAACCTCTAAATTAGTTTAAAATATTCATATTTGTTAACATGTTCTGGATATATTTCTAGAATTTACCTTGAATTAAAATTTCAAATTGATAACCTGCTTCTACAAACATGTTAAAGTGAAACGAGTTAAATGAATTGCAGTGCTCTGCGAAGTTTCGCAGTTCTCAACCGGTAAGAGGAAAACCGTAGTATTATGCAAAGTTAAATCGTGTGTATTTAATTATGGCAAAGCACACTAGGGCTATCTGCCTAAGGGAAGGGATGCCTTCGTGGAGGACGTTCTAAGGGAAACTGGCTCGTATACACGTTACACATGGGAAAAACCACGAAAACACCCATGCAGCCAGCCCGTTCGCGGGATTCGAACCTCGGACCAAACCACCAGTGTTCAGCGACTTTACCGCTCGGCCGCTGGTGGGCCAAAGTTAGATCGAAATCGCATTGATAAGACAAAACTAAGCTGTATGGATGTTATGCATATCCTGCTTTATACCATCATAAAAAAACTTAAGTGTACACCATATAACTTGTAAGGAATATAAAATTATAACCATTTTTTAGTGCATTTCAGTTACACTTATTGGATTGAATTACATTTACTTCGACGATACCGCATAAACCACAAGAGAGTAAATGCACTCTTAAAAATTCACAATATTTGTTTATCATAGCGACACTCTGGCGCTAGGTTCATTTAACAGCGTCATATTTCATTCATTTTATAACTCAAAATGCACAAAATTTATATCTTTTGAAGAGTTATCTAATCGTTGCCACATGTTCTATTCAAATACTATAATAAATCTAAGACGATGTATAAGAGAAATTTAAAAAAAGAAAACGTTTTTCACAGACGATTCAGTATTTCTCATTTAATTAATTCAGTTCTGACTTCGCGATAAGGCAAAAATACATAAAACCTCAAAATATCTATATTAAAAATTACGAAGTAAATCTCAAATACTTAATATCTCAAATCCTCGAAAACATTCCAGAAAGAATTAAGCATGATTTAATTGGCAAAAATAAATGCATGCGTTATCTTTGTTGTTGCGAAGATAAGTTTCTCTAGATTGGCAACAAATCCACTAGTCTCCTGTTTCAAATGTGAACATCAACGGCCGCCATTAAAAACAGGCTTAGCGGCAATTAAACAACTTTAAAATTCAGAAGTCAAACAACAAAAATCAGCGTTATACCTACAAAATTTTCACAGGACTAGTTTCGATGGTTTTACCGAACCATCATCTTCAGCTGCAAAACCGCAAATGAACAAGATAGGAAATAATGATTAGATAAGATAAGAAAGCCTGGACAAGAATAAGCAAGTGGCGCCATCTCTTGGCGAAACCAGAACTAAAACATAATTTCTCTAAAAGCCGAAGGCAAATTTGGATTGGAATTAGGATCGTTAACTAGAACAAAAAGATTTTTATGAATGTGAAATACCTCTAGAAAATCCAGTTCTCCAATGGAAGATGTTTTTTGAATAATTTTGGCAGCAGAAAAATTGAAAGTGTGATTTTCGGACCAACAATGTTGAGCAACAGAAGATCTCTG